TTTCCATTTGTTAGTGTCCTCTTTTATTTCTCTTAAGAGTGTCTTATAGTTTTCAGGGGATAGGTCTTTCACTTCCTTGGTTAGGTTTATTCCTAGATATTTTATTCTTTTTGATGCAATGGTGAATGGAATTATTTTCCTGATTTCTCTTTCTATTAGTTCATTGTTAGTGTATAGGAAAGCCACAGATTTCTGTGTATTAATTTTGTATCCTGCAGCTTTGCTGATTTCCGATATTAGTTCTAGTAGTTTTGGAGTGGACTCTTTGGGGTTTTTTATGTGCAATATCATGTCATCTGCAAATAGTGAGAGTTTGATTTCTTTACCAATCTGGAATCCTCGTATTTCTTTGTGTTTTGTCATAGCCGTGGCTAGGACCACCTGTACTATGTTGAATAACAGTGGGGAGAGTGCATGTCCATGTCTTGTTCCTGATCTCAGAGCAAAAGCTTTCAGCTTCTTGCAACTCAGTATGATGTTGGCTGTGGGTTTATCCTATATGGCCTTTATTATGTTGAGGTACTTGCCCTCTATTCCCATTTTGTTGAGAGTTTTTATCATGAATGGATGTTGAATTTTGTTGAATGCTTTTTCAGCATCTATGGAGATGGTCATGTGGTTTTTGTTCTTCTTTTTGTTTATGTGGTGGATGATGTTGATGGATTTTCGAATGTTGTACCGTCCTTGATTCCCTGAGATGAATCCCACTTGGTAATGGTGTGTGATCATTTTGATGTATTTTTGAATTCGATTTACTAATATTTTGTTGAGTATTTTTGCATCTACGTTCATCAGGGATATTGGTCTATAATTTTCTTTTTTGGTGGGGTCTTTGCCTGGTTTTGGTATTAGGGTGATGTCAGCTTCATAGAATAAGTTTGGGAGTATTCCCTCCTCTTCTATTTTTTGGAAAACTTTAAGGAGAATGGGTATTGTGTCTTCTCTGTATGTCTGATAAAATTCCAAGGTAAATCCATCTGGCCCGGGTGTTTTGTTCTTGGGTAGTTTTTTGATTAGCGCTTCAGTTCTGTTGCTGGTGATTGGTCTGTTTAGATTCTCTGTTTCTTCCTTGGTCAGTTTTGGAAGGTTGTATTTTTCTAGGAAGTTGTCCATTTCTTCTAGGTTTTCCAGCTTGTTGGCATATAGGTTTTCATAGTATTCTCTAATAATTCTTTGTATTTCTGTGGGGTCTGTCGTGATTTTTCCTGTCTCGTTTCTGATTTTGTTGATGTGTGTTGACTCTCTTTTTGTCTTAGTAAATCTGGCTAGAGGCTTATCTATTTTGTTTATTTTCTCAAAGAACCAGCTCTTGGTTTCATTGATTTTTTCTGTTGTTTTATTCTTCTCAGTTTTATTTATTTCTTCTCTGATCTTTATTGTGTCCCTCCTGCTGACTTTAGGCCTCATTTCTTCATTTTCCAATTTCGATAATTTGACTTTAGACTATTCATTTGGGATTGTTCTTCATTCTTTAAATATGCCTGGATTGCTACGTACTTTCCTCTTAAGAGTGCTTTCGCTGTGTCCCACAGAATTTGAGGCTTTGTGTTGTTGTTGTCATTTGTTTCCATATATTGCTAGATCTCTATTTTAATTTGTTCGTTGATCCATTGATTATTTAGGAGCATGTTATTAAGCTTCCATGTGTTTGTGAGCCTTTTTGCTTTCTTTGTACAGTTTATTTCTAGTTTTATGCCTTTGTGGTCTGAAAAGTTGGTTGGTAGTATTTCAGTCTTTTGGAATTTACTGAGGCTCTTTTTTTGGCCTCGTATGTGGTCTATTCTGGAGAATGTTCCATGTGCACTTGAGAAGAATGTGTATCCTGTTGCTTTTGTATGTAGAGTTCTATAGATGTCTATCAGGTCCATCTGTTCTAGTGTGTTGTTCAGTGCCTGTGTGTCCCTTCTTATTTTCTGTCTGGTGGATCTATCCTTTGAAGTGAGTGGCGTGTTGAAGTCTCCTTAAATGAATGCATTGCGTTCTATTTCCTCCTTTAATTCTTTTAGTATTTCTTTCACATACGCTGGTGCTCCTGTATTTGGTGCATATGTATTTATAATGGTTATATCCTCTTATTGGGGTGACCCCTTTATCATTATATAATGTCCTTCTTTATCTCTTGTTACTTTCTTTGTTTTCAAGTCTATTTTTGTCTGATACTAGTACTGCAACACCTGCCTTTTTCTCCCTGTTGTTTGCATGAAATATCTTTTTCCATCCCTTAACTTTTAGTCTGTGCATGTCTTTGGGTTTGAGGTGAGTCTCTTGTAAGCAGCATATAGATGGGTCTTGCTTTTTTATCCATTCTATTACTCTGTGTCTTTTGATTGCTGCATTCAGTCCATTTACATTTAGGGTGATTATTAAAAGATATGTACTTATTGCCTTTGCAGGCTTTAGATTTGTGGTTACCAAAGGTTCACGGTTAGCTTCTTTACTCTCTTACTGTATAACTTAAGTCGCTTATTGAGCTATTATAAATACTGTCTGATGATTCTTTATTTCTTTCCTTTCTTATTCCTCCTCCTCCAATCTTTATATGTTGGGTGTTTATTCTGTGCTCTTTTGTGTTTCCTTTAACTGCTTTTGTGGGTAGTTGATTTTATTTTTTGCCTTTAGATAGTATTTGGTTGGTCTGCTTTCTTTGCTGTGATTTTATTTTCTCTGGTGACATCTGTTTAGCCTTAGGAGTGCTCCCATCTAGAGCAGTCTGTCTAAAGTACCCTATAGAGGTGTTTTGTGGGAGGCAAATTCCCTCAACTTTTGCTTGTCTGGGAATTGATTAATCCCTCCTTCATATTTAAATGATAAGCATGCTGGATACAGTATCCTTGGTTCAAGACCCTTCTGTTTCATTGCATTAAATATATCATGCCATTCTCTTCTGGCCTGTAAGGTTTCTTTTGAGAAGTCTGGTGACAGGCTGATGGGTTTTCCTTTGTAGGTGACATTTTTCCTCTCTCTAGCTGCCTTTAAAACTCTTTCCTTGTCCTTGATCTTTGCCATTTTAGTTATTATGTGTCTTGGTGTTGTCCTCCTTGGGTCCCTTCTTTTGGGAGTTCTGTGTGCTTTCATGGTCTGCATGACTATTTCCTCCACCAGTTTGGGGAAATTTTCAGCAATTATTTCTTCAAATATACTCTCTATCCCTTTTTCTCTCTCTTCTTCTTCTGGTACCCCTATAATGCAGATATTGTTCCTTTTGGATTGGTTGCACAGTTCTCTTAATATTGTTTCATTTCTGGAGATCCTTTTATCTCCCTCTGCTTCAGAGTCTCTGCGTTCCTGTTCTCTGTTTTCTATTCCTTTAATCGCCTCTTGAATCTTGTCTATTCTGCTTTTAAGTCCTTTCAGAGATTGTTTTATTTCTGCATTCCCCCTCCCTACTTTGTTAGCTCCTTCATTTTTCTCTGCAGCTCTGTCAGCATGCTTATGACCTTGATTTTTAATTCTTTTTCAGGAAGATTGATTAGGTCTGTCTCCTCAAGTTCCTTCTCAGGGGTTGTCTCTGTTAGTCTGGTGTGGATCAAATTCTTCTGCCTTTTTATGGTGATAGAGGTTGTTGTGGGGAGTTGGCACGTGTGTCAGCTCTGAGAATGTTCCTTCTTGCTAGTCTGTTGCCTTCCTCTCCTGTGAGAACGGCGACCCCTAGTGGCTTGTGCTGGGCAGCTGTGTGCAGATGGGGTCTCTGATTCTTGCCTGAGCTACTGTCGAGCTCTGCGCTGCTGCTGTGGGCGTGCCCGACCTCAGGCTGCTGCTCCGCCATGGCGAGGCCACACTGGAGGGGTAACAGGCAGGAGGCTGTTTATCGCTGTTAAGGTCCTCCAAGCTACGCTGCCACCTAGGGTGTTAGGGTGCCCAGAGTTCCCCAGGATTCCCAGCTGCTGGGTTGAGTGTGTCAGGTCGCTTCAGTGCACTGTGAGGCCCCTGTCCCTTTAAGTCTTTCAAGGACCACTTGCTTTTCTTTTGTCCCAGGGGCCCCAGCAGCAGGGAGCCACTCACAGATTTTACTGTCCTTTTTCCCTTGTATCCAGCACACTGCACACTGTGTGTCTTAGCTCCCAGTGTGGATGGCTAGGGCAGGGTATTTAGCAGTTCTGGTTTCCCTCTGTGTCCCCACTCTGACTCCTGTCCTCATGCCAGGGAGCTGGGGTGGGGGTGCTCGGATCCCTCCGGGCCGTGGCTTGTATCTTACCCCTTCGCGAGGCGCTGGGTTCTCACAGGTGTGGATGTAGCCTGGCTGTTGTCCTGTATCTTCTGGTCTCTCTTTTAGGAATAGTTGTATTTGTTGTGTTTTCAAAAATACATATGGTTTTGGGAGGAGATTTCTGCTCTGAGATTCACACCGCCATCTTGACTTCTCCTAAAATGGTGTATTTTTTAATGAAAAAAATTCTTAGAGACTTGAGTCATGAGTCATGATGTTTTATGTATAAACATTTTTGCTTTGGTTTGCATTTTAGTTTGTAGAATGTCCCACTACTTTTTACCCCATTTCCAGGCTACTGACATTTGTGAAGACCATAGAGAAATCTAACAGTTAATTTTCTTTAGTGGTAAAAAATCATCCCTAAATAAATTAGAAATATAATTATTTGGCAGGTGGTGTACTGTTTTGTGCTCAGAAGGGGAAGTGGGAAAAGGGAGATTAATTAATAAAGACTGTTACTAATTTGATTTACCTGAAAGACTAACTTATGGTTTTTAAGGTTCATTGAAATATGGCAACACTGTATCTGTATATTTTCATTTATATCACATTCTAAATAATGTTTGCTGATTTATTTTAAGTTTTGAGAATAACAGTAGATTTTTTTCTGGGTATCTGTTTTTGTCAACTTGAGAAATAGTGTTTGATTTATACCAGAGTCTCAAGGAAATAGGTTATTTATTGTGTTGACAATAATGACAAAGAAGGTAGAATGAATATTCATTTATAAATAAACTTTGGAGATTTTAACTAACAAATTTTGTAGTAAAATGTTATGGTTTCCTTTCAGTGCTTAGAAGAAATGAAACGGGAAGCCAGGACTATAAAGATTGATAGAAGATTGACAGGTGCCAATATAATTGATGAGCCTCTTCAGCAAGTGAGTTTCAGTATGTGGTATTTGAATTCCATATATTGTGTGCTAGGTTGTATTTCTTTTGAAACTACTAAGATAAAATCTTTGCTGTTTATGTAATGTGCTGGAAATTCATTATAACATTATCCTTGGATTCTGTACTTAAAGATGATACCTTATTTATAAACCCATTTACAATGATGTTGTTGCTTACTAAATATTAAAGCATTTTGGTTGAATTTGCACTTAGAAAAAAAAGTTCTTACATATTTGATCATGTTCTATTTTATAGTTAAAAATGTTACAAGATTAGTGGTTTGGTAAATCATACATTTTTTTCCCACTACTTTTATCACTGAAAATATTTATACATGGTTTGATCCAAAAATATTAAAATATTAGAATTAAAAAAGTTATTCACCCCTAAAATGTTTTTCATTAATGTGTGCCTGATTATATGATTATAAATAATGTGTACTTTAAGATTTTGACATTTATTTTATAAATGAACCCTTATTTAGCTTATCTGCCTTTCCTAAAACATAAGGTATATTATTTGCTATTTATTGGCTACCCTAATACTGTTACCGGTATCAAAGGTATTATAAATAGGTAAACTCCGTATGTCTTTTTTGTAATTTGACTACAATATATCTGATGATATAATCTTAGGAAATGGTTTCTTTTTGAGAATTAGAGTCCATATACATTGTTTTGCATCATTCTATTATGTTGACTAAAACCCTGTATTATAGCATGGAAAATTTATTTTTTCTTCAAGATCCATCCTTACCTGAGTTTGGGTGGAGCTTGACCATAGATAACTCTAATTGTTAAAAAACTGGGCAGTGCATGAATTGGGATACCAAAATAAAGTTTTTTGGAGTAGTTTTTAATGTTTTGAAGCTTTCGTAATGAAGGCATTGATTTACCACCATTATTTCTGTGTAGAGAGTAAATATAAATTGGCAAATAGTCCTTTTAGGTTTTAGTTTGCTGCTGTTACTTTTTAAATCCTAAAAAGTTGTATTATTTTCCAATATTTGTATTTTAGGTTATCCAGTTTTCCTTGCGGGATTATGTCCAGTATTGGTATTATACACTAAGTGATGATGAATCTTTTCTTCTTGAAATTAGACAGACTCTTCAAAATGCACTCATTCAGTTTGCTACCAGGTAAGATCACTGCATTGTATTATGCAGAAAAACTTAAATATATTCTACATACCAATATGTATGTATCCCTACTTTTAAATGGGTGGGGAAAGTTGATTATTAAAACTAGAACAGTAGATTATTTTTGTGGGATAACTCATTATAGAACCAGAGACCTAAAAACCTCTGCTCCTTTAAATTTAAACTTTACATTTATAGAATGTTTATCTTGTTTAAGCTATGTTCTCTCAATCTATATTTTAGTTTTTTTCTCAGTGTCCATCATGTGACTTTTCAGTTTTTCACCCTACTTTTTTCCGTGTTCTCACAGTTAATCTGTTGTGAGTGCTGTGGAAATGGTTTCAGTATAACTGCTCTCTTACTTTTGACACATATGTAATGGGAATCCTCTGAGAGGGAGAAGAAACCAAAGGAGCTTAAGTCAATGGAGAATGTTCAGTTTGTTTATTTGTTTTCAGAAGAGAAGTATATTTTGATGAGTTTGCTTTAAGAAACTTTTCTTGGGAATCCATGTCTGTGGCTTCCCTTTAAGTTCATAATTAAACTTTGTTGGTTTTTTTAATAGAAACTTTTTTCCTGTGAGATACACTAAAATTATCACTTTGTAAAACCCCCTTATGTACTACTTCCTATATGACAATATTTTGTTCTATGTCACTGTGCTTAAACTACTTGATGATTTGGAGGGCCATTTCATATCCAGAAATTACATTTTATAAGAAAGGATTTTGTTTGAATGATTTTTTTTTTTTTTAGAAGATTTTACCACCCAGTTTCTACAAAGATTTCCCTACTAGCCTATAGCCTCAAGGCAGGAAGCTGCATACCATGGGCACTAGTACACTCTCAGATTTGAAGGTGTTATTCTTCAGCCAACCACTTCTTCACCTCTTAGGTTCTTGAAATATAGGCTTGGGGGATAGTTTTGCCCTAGGGCTCTTTCTGTGTTTTCACCTCTGTGAATATAGATTATTTCCAGCTCATGCTGCCCTGTTGGGACTTTTCCTCTATAACTCAGTTGATCCTGAGCTTTAGAGTGGGAATTTAGTTCCTCAGTTTCAGGTCACTGGGAGGTCTGTGGTAAGGTTTATTGTTTGAACAATAACCTTACTTGTAGTGATACATTTGAGCTCCTCTCCTTTGGGATTAACAGCAAACATTTGCAAAGTCTCAGACATTAATTACAACTGTAGAGTCATTGAAATATAAGAAACTATGATCAAAGAAGGTCAGAAATTGGATTATCTCCTTTACTTCATATATGTAACATTGAGTATATTAGTTACTCTTTCAGATAACTCCTGTGAGTCATTCATTCACCGCTTCCTATTGCTAACACCATTCTAATTATTTTTTTTCCTTTGTAAGGGAGGGAATAAGAAGGATTCATTATTCTGTCTGACCTCCTAAAACTGTATTAAAATGTAATAGTAAACAATATATAAAACCACATTTTAGATCTGGAGAACTTTGAACTAGTAATTGGAAGACTTGAGTTTACAATTACTTAGCTGTAGGATTGGGAGTATTTTAAACTCTTTGAACCTTGGTTTTTCTCTTATGTGAAATAAGCATAGTAACACCTGCCCTTTTCTGCATTCCTCACAGGACTATGGTCAGGATCAAATTAATCTGTTCATTCAGCTAGTATTTTGTGCCCAGTTTGTACCAACCAGGTGCTGTGGGTACTGCAGTGAATAAAACAAAATCCCTGCCCAGTTGAATGTAATGAAAATAATACTGGTGAAATGTTTTGAAATGGTGAAGGAATTTAGAAATTTAAGTTCTTATGCCATGCAACATCCATAATTTCACGGATGAGGAAGCTAAGATCCAGAAGAACTAAGTGATTAGTCCATGATTATCCAGTGTGTTGTGGGCAGGGTAAGAAATAGAATCAGAGATTGTTCTTAACAGCAGTGTTCTTTCCTCCATTCCTATTATGATTTGGATTATTTATTTTTGTTTTCCCACCTTTCTTTCCCTTAGTGCATAAAATTTTTCCCCTTCTGTAACATTCTATGCTATCAAGTTAAATATTTGGGTAATTACAGAAAGAACCAGTTTTTTTCCGTTCTAGACTGATCTTAATGTGTCTTTGTTTTGCCATTGGCCTTAAGTTTTGGCTCAAATTAGCTTCCCTGGAGTTTTATGTCCCTCACCTGTGAAAGGCTGATGATAACTAAGTTTATTTAGAGGGTGCTTTCAGGCTACAAATGATGGAATGTAAAGTCCCTAGTGTACAGTAGGCTCAGTAGTTATTTTGGCATGCCTTCTCCATGAACGACTTTTTGTGCTATGTTGGGTTTTTTTAATTACTCCTAAAATACTTTGTCTTAACAAAGGCTTCCTGACTTTTTAAAACGCAGCATCAAGAAACTTAGTTCTTTTTACAGTCATTTGAATACTTACTTAATCCTTGTTCTATGCTGTCAGCTGTGCAATGTGAAGCATATGACAGGATCACAAGTCCCCCCCCCTCCCCCCCGGTACTTTAAGTTACGATCTTATATAGGGGTCTTAACCAGGGTTCTTAACCCATGAAGCCCTGTTTTATTTAATTTTAAAAAGGGCTTGTAAACCCTGAATAGATTTAAAACCACTGAATTCTAGTGTTCATATATATCACTTAGGGGAAACAATTACAAAATACCAGCATAAGACAAAATGCTAATTTTGAGTCATAACAGGAAGAAAAGGACATACTTAGAGTGTAAAGTCATGTCTTTGAACTTTGATACTAGTAATTATTAAGCTTTAGGGCCTTGAATGAGCAAAACATATGATTCTTTGAATCTGATGATAATCTGTATCTACTTATCAGGTTGTTGTTAGGATTAAATGACATCACATGTGAGAGAGTATTTTGTAAAGCTTACAATTTATGTTAACATTAGTACCTGCTACTCTCTAGTAACTGGTTGAGGAAGGAATCCCTCTTAGGGCACTCTTGAGTTATATGTGAAACCTGGGTGTGAATTAGGCTGGAGGCTAGGGGATGACTCACATATTTTTATTCCAGTTTCAAATAAGGTATTATGACATAGGACAGAAAGCCCTGCGCCATGTGTATTATAATTCTACCTGCACTATTAGGTTGCAGTGTACTTAAATTTTCTTAACATCTCTGTAAAACAGTAGTTACTAATACTTGTAGCAAACTTAGTGTTGTGAGGGACAAATGACATGATGTGCATAAGACATTTCATAAGGTATTTGTCAACCAATAAATAGCATTTGAGCAAGTTAGTTGACTTTTCTGTATCTGAATCTCTGTATCAGTAGTACAGTGGGATTAATTACCTGCTACGACTGTTGTAATGATTATATAGGAGAAAAGTGCATGCAGAACAACACCACAAGACCTGGCAAAGAGTACTGTGTTCAGTGAATGTTAACTTTGTTGTTGTTATTGTTACTTTGGTTATTTATTATGTTCCTATGATATATACACAGAAGTGTCCATCATGTGACTTTTCAGTTTTTCACCCTACTTTTTTCCGTGTTCTCACAGTTAATCTGTTGTGAGTGCTGTGGAAATGGTTTCAGTATAACTGCTCTCTTACTTTTGACACATATGTAATGGGAATCCTCTGAGAGGGAGAAGAAACCAAAGGAGCTTAAGTCAATGGAGAATGTTCAGTTTGTTTATTTGTTTTCAGAAGAGAAGTATATTTTGATGAGTTTGCTTTAAGAAACTTTTCTTGGGAATCCATGTCTGTGGCTTCCCTTTAAGTTCATAATTAAACTTTGTTGGTTTTTTTAATAGAAACTTTTTTCCTGTGAGATACACTAAAATTATCACTTTGTAAAACCCCCTTATGTACTACTTCCTATATGACAATATTTTGTTCTATGTCACTGTGCTTAAACTACTTGATGATTTGGAGGGCCATTTCATATCCAGAAATTACATTTTATAAGAAAGGATTTTGTTTGAATGATTTTTTTTTTTTTTAGAAGATTTTACCACCCAGTTTCTACAAAGATTTCCCTACTAGCCTATAGCCTCAAGGCAGGAAGCTGCATACCATGGGCACTAGTACACTCTCAGATTTGAAGGTGTTATTCTTCAGCCAACCACTTCTTCACCTCTTAGGTTCTTGAAATATAGGCTTGGGGGATAGTTTTGCCCTAGGGCTCTTTCTGTGTTTTCACCTCTGTGAATATAGATTATTTCCAGCTCATGCTGCCCTGTTGGGACTTTTCCTCTATAACTCAGTTGATCCTGAGCTTTAGAGTGGGAATTTAGTTCCTCAGTTTCAGGTCACTGGGAGGTCTGTGGTAAGGTTTATTGTTTGAACAATAACCTTACTTGTAGTGATACATTTGAGCTCCTCTCCTTTGGGATTAACAGCAAACATTTGCAAAGTCTCAGACATTAATTACAACTGTAGAGTCATTGAAATATAAGAAACTATGATCAAAGAAGGTCAGAAATTGGATTATCTCCTTTACTTCATATATGTAACATTGAGTATATTAGTTACTCTTTCAGATAACTCCTGTGAGTCATTCATTCACCGCTTCCTATTGCTAACACCATTCTAATTATTTTTTTTCCTTTGTAAGGGAGGGAATAAGAAGGATTCATTATTCTGTCTGACCTCCTAAAACTGTATTAAAATGTAATAGTAAACAATATATAAAACCACATTTTAGATCTGGAGAACTTTGAACTAGTAATTGGAAGACTTGAGTTTACAATTACTTAGCTGTAGGATTGGGAGTATTTTAAACTCTTTGAACCTTGGTTTTTCTCTTATGTGAAATAAGCATAGTAACACCTGCCCTTTTCTGCATTCCTCACAGGACTATGGTCAGGATCAAATTAATCTGTTCATTCAGCTAGTATTTTGTGCCCAGTTTGTACCAACCAGGTGCTGTGGGTACTGCAGTGAATAAAACAAAATCCCTGCCCAGTTGAATGTAATGAAAATAATACTGGTGAAATGTTTTGAAATGGTGAAGGAATTTAGAAATTTAAGTTCTTATGCCAT